TTGTTACAAAATCTAGAATGACCAATCAAAACCCAAGTATAGGAAGATTTAAAAGCTTGACAACGAAATCATGTTATAAGAGCTATTCAGATCTTTAAAATACGGGTAATATTAAAAAAGAATTTATTCTAACCAATATCTATTAAATTATATGGTAAAATTTGATACTAAAATTAAAACTGCCAATTTTAAATCACAAATTTAATCACTATTATGTTTAAAAAGTATAAAATTACTGAGGAGAAAAGAAAAAATACATATATTATTCAATTTATTTCTTCGTTGAAATTACGTTAGAACAGACGCTACAATATCCGCTCATACGACAATACATCTATATATATTTTAATCCCAAGTGTGTGAGTGGGGTTTTAAACTCACGTGCAAAACAACACAAACACAATCAGATTATAATACATAAGCAACCGGACATATTTAGATATATATACACACAAAAAAGCGACGAGACAGGAACATCTCCACAGCCCTTTATGAAAAAAGGAAACGGGGAAACCAACACCTACACACACACAATTAAAAGTGAATGCACTTTCCATACACATAGACACCTATAAATACATGTACAACACACATCCACAGACATTGACCTTGACAATCAGATAACGCATCCAATAAATATTTAAGACTGAAAGTATCCCTAAATAAATGCTAGCCACTTATTAAAATATAACTTAAGCGAGCAAATATACAAAGATAAAAATGGTTAAAAATAATATTATTTACTATATTAAAACGAAAATTCAAAAACCACAAATATCACTAAAGACATATATTTCAATCATATTTATATAGACGTATATATATATATATATATATATATATATATATATATATATATATATATATATATATATATATATATATATATATATATATATTTTATTTCTATGTGTATATATATATATATTATATATATATGTAAACATAGTTGTATATATGTTTATACATATGTGTGTTTGTATATATATATATATATATATATATATATATATATATAGAGAGAGAGAGAGAGAGAGAAAGAGAGAGAGAGAAACCTACCCAGATTATTCTGGCTCACTAGGCTTATCTAGGTCTGTTCTACGGTTGTATTGAGCTCTTTAGTTAGTAGTTTACTGGTGTCGGGGTTTTTTATTTGAGCTTTAAACCTGTATCTGGGCGATTTTTTTTTCGACCGACTTTCATGTTTCTAGCTCTTTCTTTTTTAAAACCTTTTTTCCTTCGAGATTGATTTGATTATTGGCAAATCAAAAAAGGTTTTTTCGAAACGAGTATAATCACCTATATATATATATATATATATATATATATATATATATATATATATATATATATATATATATATATATATATATGAATGTATGCATAATTATGTATATTTAGAGAGAATATATTCATTGAAGCATGTTTGATATTATTATTTAGTCCAGTTAGGTCTTTGTTTTATTTTAATCTTCTCATATTCGTATATCATAGTGTAGGTATGAAATTGATGGAGAAAAGGCGACGTATTTGTTTACTTTCTTTTTATTTTCCCAAGAACTTTCAAACTCATTTCTAAATCAAAGTTGCTTTTGTTCTTCTTTGGTCCTAACCTGGACCCCAACATATATGTATATAAGTGTCTATATATGTACCTGTATATGTATCTGTACATATATATATATATATATATATATATTTATATATATATATATATATATATATATATATATATATATGTTCGTACATATGTGTATATATATGTATATAATGAACATATATATATATATATATATATATATATATATATATATATATATATATATATATATATATATATATATATGCATATATATATATATATATATATATATATATATATATATATATATATATATATATATATATGACTGTGAGAAAGAAATGATGCATTAAAGTTTTCTGTTTTAAAGGTTGTATATTCTGGGCTGTGTATAACTACTATTTATGCGTCACAAAAAAAACTGTATCTTGTCAATAATGAAGTGCTATTGCGAAAACAACAATCAACTTGAAAATGGATAAAAACGTGACCTCATGCATGAAATACGTAAATATGTAAGAATATTGCAAAAACAAATTAGCATCATATTTTCCTTTTTGATCTTCTTTAACGATACATGATTGAAAAATATGTTGATGCCCCAATATTCAGGTATAGACTTTATTCTAGCCGGTCGATTGCTCTTGTGTTACAATGTTGTGGAAAACAACAAATGAATAATCTTTTGTCTTGCAAAACTTCTACATTAAATCAATCTTGAAATGTAAAAAGAAACACCAGATATAAGTTATTATTTTTATGCTACTAGATGCATTCACAATGTGTTTGCTAGCACTTTCAACATGCATCGCATCAATCTATCTATTGTATTTGTTTTTAAGCGTAATAGCACTTGTATGTCGGATATGATTTGTAACATAAAATCATCGTTTCGGCCAATAAGATTAACGAGTTCATCAATGCTACCTGGAAAAGCGGCGACATAGGGGAGTACTTTAAAAAATAATATAAAAAAAATTACATAGGGCTTGATCCGGTGATCTCTGCGTCCATTTCATCAGAAAACTGTCTTCATCTCCACACACACACACACACACACATATATATATATATATATATATATATATATATATATATATATATATATATATATATATATATATATAATAGCTGACACTCATATTCGAGGATACCCGTCTACTAGGAGGGCTAGCAAATCCCTATTTGAGACGTTTGCTCAGCTACAATTGTGTTTGTTCCACAACTACCGATCCAACCTGTGTTTTATATTGCAAATATCCCAAGCAGACATTAGTTTCAGTTTCTGGCAGAGAGGGTGTTATCTAACAGTATGAACAATCTCAGCAAAATGAGTACGATGAATTGTGGCTTCGTGCTAACAGAGTTATCGAGAGTTTCATTCACCAGTCTTGTGTCAACGCGTGTTAGGATTTTCAGGCAATTTTTCCTCTCCATACCGATAAAGTCAGGAAGTCTCCTTCATGCTGAATTTACCGTGGTGAGATTCGTATTTGTGGTATTTCTATTCACATCTCTCTGTATGCAAATATATATATATATATATATATATATATATATATATATATATATATATATATATATACCCAAGTATATAATTGGTATATACGGAATGAATTCCAATAACCAACAATTAATATTCTTAAAAGAGTGCTCAATACAAAGTAGAGCAGATATAATTATTATCATCACTTGATAAGACACCGAGTGTGTTGAAAGAAAATGGCTATTTTTGTAGTGATTATATAACATACTTATGTTATAAATTTTTTATAAATAAATATTATATATATATATATATATATATATATATATATATATATATATATATATATATCTGTATGCATATATATATATATTTATATATATATACGCTTATATATTTTTTTCTATTTTTCTAGCTACAAGTGTTTTGGGTGTGGTGAGCTTCATCATACGTAGAATGGTTATTTCAAAATATTATTTAAAGAAATTTATTTCCAATGTTTTCTTAATTTTACCCATTGTTTTTTGTGGTAGTAATACAAATTCTTTTGTATTTTTACAAAGTATTTTTACAACAGTCTATGTTAAGGAGTAAAAGTTATGTAGTAATTATTGTTCCGATGAAGGTGGGGAATGAGATCTTTGATCTTATGTTTTTATGTCATATATGTCAAAAGTAACTTTCCTCCATTTATGCGCATTGTGTCTGAATCCGTGTCTTTGCTAGTATCTGCCTATATATAATCGTTCTGTATACATATAAAATTGTACATTTGTAGGTATAAATATATATATATATATATATATATATATATATATATATATATACACACTTTGTATTTTATGTTGAGTTCGTATCAGTGTTAGTTTTGTGTGTGTGTCTGTGTGTGGCCAGTCTAATGTGTTTCTTTGACAGTATGTGTGTATATATTATTTCCAATACATGTCTCTACTATATATTATAAAAAATATTTATGTATCGTAACTGCATGTATTTTGTATGGTGTGTAGGTTCACACTAGCGCGTGATACTTCTAGTATGTTATTTTTTGCCAGTATGTGTATATTTAATCGTTCTCCGTACATATATACTCTATATTATATTATTATAGAAAATCTATATCCTAACTCTATGCATTTTCTATGGTGTGTGTGTTCTGTGTGGTCACACTAATATGTTTGGCCACTATGTGTGTATGTTTTGTTTTTATGTGTGTGAGGCTATTTTTTTAGTGCTGTTTGAAATCTGTTTATCAGGTTGTTTTTTTTTTTTTCTTGTATTTGTAGTTAAGAGTAATTGTATATTTGATATATTCGCATAATTTTAAATTTATCTTTTTTGCATTTGTGGTTGTGTTGTGATACAAAGTTCTTGCTGTTGTCTGGTAATTTAATCTTGCTTTTGTGAAGGGGAAATCTGTTGTTTAGTGCTTGTGTGATATCTATATATCATTTGTTGCGTCTTGTGCAGATTAGTCTATAAATCACTTTTTATGAGATGCAGATTATGTTTGTCTTTATTGTGATGTGTTTGTTGGGTTTTCAAGAGTGTAGACGTTTCCTTGTATAATGATATCACAAACGTCACAACTTTTCGTGTTGAATTTTTAACCCTTTTCATTGTGTGTTGATTGCATTTAGATGAATGTAATATGTGTTTTAGGTTTTTGACTGGCATTTGCTTATATTTTGTTGTTTTTTAGTATAACTTTCATTTTAACATTATTGTTAAGTATGTTTAGATTTCTTGTAATTTCTGTCAGTACCTCTGGACTGTTCTTCTTGGTAGCATTTGTTCATTGTTGCGTTTCTTTCCGTTTCTTAGTTATAAACGTATTTTTGCTAGTTCAAATGTTTTATTAGTGGCGTAAGAGAAACTTATTTATACGCTTTGTATAGTGGATTTTTGATATGTTTACATTGACGTTGCTACCGCATATAACAGGATATCATCTTTTATGGTAAATATCTTTGTTGATAGATAGATAGATAGATAGATAGATAGATAGATGCAATATCGACCATGTGATAAGAAGCTCATTGTATATTTAATTTAATTTATGGTGCAAACAAAATAGTGTTCAATGTAATTATACAGAGCTATGAAGTATATGTTAATAAACACACATGTACCTAAAGTTCAGGTGCAACTTAAAATTTCATGGTTTCTCTAGTCGTCAGACACATATGACAATTAAACCGCTTATAAGAGTTGCTTTTTTTAAATACTGACTCTCATGGAGGAACGCTAAATTATACTCCCATTCCAAGCTTAAAGTTAATATAACCCCAATATATTATTGGAGTGTGAATTCAAAATATGGAGTATGGAAGGAGATAATCAAAATATGTGTATGGAAGAAGATAATCGGAAAAGCAAAGCAAGAAAAATGATGGATGCAAGTTAAAAGTTTCTATGGTACATTTTTTCACCGTTGGGAAAGTGATTTAATTTAAGAAATTATAAAGCGTAAAGAGTAAGGAATATGAATAAAAATAAAATTTATCCCAGAATCAAAATACTTTAGGAGAGAGCGTTTTTTATGGGTACAATCTATTATGAACCCAAGACGTTTGTTCAGCAGGCTGCGGTCGTTAATAATTTTGAGGATGAATTTTTTTCTAGCAAATATAGTTTACATCGGTTGCCGTGGCCGGAAATGTTATGGTTTTGGCGATGAAATTACAATTTACTACCGGTGTGTAGTTATTTCGTTTGATTTCCTAGTAAAATTTTCAGAGTTACGCATTTGAATATTTTTTATTGTTAAGAGTCATTTTATGATGACAATAACGGGTCTTCTAGATGTTTGCAATCTCGCCATAATGTTTAATTCTAGCTTTATAAATAACGCCTTTATGATTTAATGGAATGGTACGGTTTTTTCGATAATTCCACCTTTTGTCTGTATTAATATTGCTTTGCGTTTGTTAAATTATTTGTTAAATAATATATATTACATTGTGCTCTATACAGCTCGAGATTTTTGAGGCTGTAGCTAATCTTAATATTGTTCTTGTTGAGAATTTAGTTTAGCAATGATATAAGGCTGAAATGTTTGTGGATTACATTAAGGAAAATTTGACGTATTTTGGTTTTGACGTTTTTGTTAAATGGTGGCTAAAACCAAATTATGTGGCGTTTTCTATTCTTATGTATATTGTTCACATTCTTATTAATGTTTATGCATTCTAGCTTAACTATGTGTTTACTTTTTCTAGTAGATGTAAAGGTTTAGTTTTATATTTAGTGAAGATGATTTTCTGGCTATAGTTAGTTGAGAGTCTGTATTGCACCGATCTGTGCAAGTTGTTTAAAATTCCATGTAGGTGTTTGGATTCTTTGCTAATGTATTTATGTATGTTTGGTTAAAAATCCCTTTACTATATGTCAAGTATATTTCTTTGGATAGTTCAAAAGTAGTGTCCAGAAACATCACACTGACATTGGATTTAGTGGTCATATTTAGTCTATGATTCTTGAAGGATTTCAAGTTTTCTAAATAGCTCTGTTTGTTGTGGGTTGGTATTACATAGGAGAATAAGTCAGTCGTCTCTGTATAGGCCAGTGATCATGCTATCTGAAGTATACTTATGTGTCGACAGTAGAAAAATGTCTAACAATTGACAAGCTTCTGCAGAAGTGAACACTCCCATCGCTATGGAAAAGTTTCGGTTGTCTATTCTATCTGTCTATCTGTTATATCTATCTATCTACACACACACACACACACACACACATATATATATATATATATATATATATATATATATATATATATATATATATATATAAACACAGACACACAAACTTAAGGAATCAGCGCATATGCTATGCCACAAAAATCTCCTGAGCCGATCAAGCAATATGGGAACCAGTAATAAGGAGTGCCAGACAAAAATGATAATAACAACGAAAATTTCAATATGAGCACTGGTAAAAGACATGCAAAGATTACAGCAAAAATTGCAATATGAGCACTGGTAAAAAAATGTCTGAAGACATCGGGTTTATAATACCCAGAAATTCACACACAGCTGTTTTCAAGTGCATTGGATGAAGGCGTTAATTAGAAACAGTGGCAGGACACAAAGAGTGTGAGTTCAATACCTGGTTAAAGTAGAAATTTAAATTAGAACATTGAGTGTGGATTTAACAGGAGATAAATGATAAATGAATCCATCAGACAGGGCAAGTGGAACTAGAATAGTCTAGCCCAGCGAGCGAAATAAAGGGCTCAGTTCGACATTCCAACCTTGTTCGTTTGAGTGTGTGTGTGTGTGTGTGTGTGTGTGTGTGTGTGTGTGTGTGTGTGTGTATTACATCAAAAATTAAAATTTATGCCAGTCCGCATTAGCCCTCGTATGCCTGTCTGGAATTGGGGTTTTAAATTTATTTTAGATAGCAGTAATATTCAAATGGACCCCTTGTTTTTGATAAGAGGCCTGTGTTGGTGACAAAGTGACAGCGTAAATTACATCATTAAGGAGACGTGCTCTGGTTCAGAGCTAATTTATGGCCAGAGCTTTTCGTGGAATAAAAATTAATTTCGGTTCCTACTATGGTATATTACACTATGCAAATAACAATTCCAGACAGGCATTCCCTCGCTGATGAGGATATTCATTAAGTTGTGCTGGTCTGAAACACACTATACTCACATGAGTTAATTTTTGATTTTTGCCGTAAAATACACACACACACACACACACACACACACACACACACACACATACATATATATATATATATATATATATATATATATATATATATATATATATATATATATATATATATATATAAAAGAATATTGCTGCATAGGGAATGAATTACAATAACAAAGAAATACTATTCTTAAAATCAGTGGTCAATACAGAGTAGGGCTAATATAATTTATTCGAAAGTTATAACACAGATATGTGGTAAAATCACTAAAATATGACCATTTTGTTTCAGCACTGGTGTCTTATCAAGTAATGGCGTTGAATGTAATATAAAGAGTTTTCAAAGTTTCAAATCGACCAAACGCTCCTCCATAAGGAAAACGCTTCCAACTACACAAGAGGTGCATATTATCGAGGCATGAGTTAATTTTGCATTTTTTATTTTTTTTTTTTTTATATTTTAGGGTTTTCTTAAAAGGGAGTTTTTAGATATAAATTTATATATTATATATATATATATATATATATATATATATATATATATATATATATATATATTTATTTAAAAAAATATGATTCTAACTCGCGAGTTGGAATCATATATTTAAATAAATAATTATATTTATGCTCTACTTTTGTAACGAGCACTATTTTTAAAAAATAATAACAAAAATACTAAGGAACTTTTAATTATTTACCTAACCTGTTCTTTCATATTTTCTATATATTTTCACACACACACACACACACACACACACACACACACACACACACACACACACACACACACACACATATACACACACACATATATATATATATATATATATATATATATATATATATATATATATATACAATTAATTACAATGATTTAAGATGCATACTTATACTTAATGGTACAGTAGACGTGACAATGTTTAAATTAACATTTAGGGAATAAAGTACACAATTATTGTACCATTACATGTAATTAAATAATAGATATATAATTTTAAAGTATAGATTCCTTTTCTCTAAGAAATCCTATTAATTATATTTTATTGTGAAGATTGTAAATTGTCTACAAAAAACAGTATATTAGTTTCGTTGATTTCATAAATCATTTGAACTATTTAATATTATATCATTTCCTGTATGCATAGACGACATGACTCACTTAATGACCTGAATTTCTCCTTTTTTTAATAATTGCCTTTTCACTTTTTTAAAAAATAATTTTCCATTTTACTGGGAAAAGTTCTCTAGAAATTGACGCATAATGTTCTTCGATCTAAAACCGGATTAGGATGCATCTGTCTTTAACACTTATATTTGAAAACCGATTGGTGACATGCGTGGTGTTAATGCATTGCGTCAATTCATGGCACTCATTAATTTGTTTATTAATTCTTTGCAGTAATTATTTGAATATTCTACGAATCTCAGGCCTAGTTAGATTTTTTCATCCTGGTGGTAGGATTTTTCAGGTTTATGGTCCTTGATTTTAATTAGGACTTCTTTGAAATGAGATTTCCGACTCTATCACTAATTTTAGTTTATCTTTCATCATTTTACTAGTAATATGTAGACTTTCTGCCATATTATTACTATTATTATTATTATTATTATTTTCTTTTTTTATAGATGTCTGTTATTTTTTTGGAAATACGGTATTATAATACTTTATAAAATTCGCTGTTTTATCAGATTTTACAATTACTTTTTCGCTGTAATTATATCCTTTACTATCCGGTCTATTGAAAATAGCCCCCAAAATATTTTAAATTAAGATAGTACCAACATCTTGCGTCCTTCAACAAGAAGTGGTACCGTAACCAAACATTACTCTCTAAATATTTTTGCATTTAAAAGAAACAAATAAAATCCTATTAAAACCACAGTAAAATGGAAATTATTTTAAAAAACGAGATTATTTAGGTTATTCAATGACTCATATTACCTATGCGTATAGGAAAAGCTATATATTATTAAGTTTCTTAAAGTTAAATATTTATAAAATCAACGAAACGAATTAACTTTTTGTGTAGATATTGCATAACCTTCACATTAAAACATCATTAATAGGATTTTTATTAAAAAAAATCTGTAATTTAAAATTATATATCTATTATTTAATTACATATAATGGTACACACAAGATTTACTTAAATGTTAATCCCTAAATTTGTATTTCAACAGGCAACCCTAAAGTATAAAAAACATAGAAAATTAAAAAATGATCCCTTGGCTAAATATATAAAACATTGTGCATATCAGTGTATCTTAAATTTTCTTAAAAAGAAAGTGAGGATGACATATACAAAATGACGGTTTGCTTATAGGAATATACGTTATATTGCTTTCGGAGAACGCATATTTTCTATAAAATTT